GATTTGCTTAAGAACCCCAAAAGAATTTAAGAACAAAGCAAAACAATCCCTTTTTTACCCTTTTATTCGGGGAAAAGGAGCCCCTAGGCCCATCGATTTCAAGGTTACATTCTCAATAAAGGGCAGTAGAGGGGCATTGAAGCTCCCCTCAGCTTACCCCTGAACCCTAAACCCCTAAACCCTAAGCCCTAAACCCTAAACCCTAAACCCTGAACCCTGAACCCTGAACCCTAAACCCTAAACCCTAAACCCTACTCGGCCCTACTCTTATCCCTGAATCCGGAAGAGCACACATCGAGCCCCGCGCAGTTGGTGCCGGCGGGCGATGTGCCGATTAGCGTCGAGTTGTACACGTAGACACGCCTGTTTTTTGAACATTCTACAAAGAGGCTAAAAAGGGTTTAGGGTTTAGGGTTTACCAAGAGTAACCCCGGAATCAAGAATTTGCCCTGTTTGGCTTAAAGGGGCTTGTAAGGGAACTTGAAACCTCAGCAACGGGAAGAAGGGCCTAATTACTCTGGTTCCTAGTTCTTAAGCCAAATGTGGCTTAGGGTTTGTGGGGTTTAGGGGGGTTTGAAAGTTTTGTTTGCATTCTGCGGCCTATGCTGCTGCGCTTTGGTGTCCAGAGCTTCGGGTTTAGACCTGTGGTTGTTCGTGGATGTCACCGGTCCATGTAGCACGAACACCCGAACCCCAAACCCTAAACCCGGAACCCTCAACCCTGAACCCAAACATCCTGTAACTCCGCGCCTGAAAGCAGAGCCAATGGAGAGGTAGGGCAGAATGCCTGGTCTTCTGGTACTTGGAGCTGCGGGTTTGTGGTACACAATTTTTGGGGTACAGAGGAGTATATGTAGGGTTTGTGTATCGGCTGACTGCTTATGTGATGCCTCAGAGCATGATCGAGCTATGGTGTCCAATTTGTCCTAACAGCATGTGTAGCAGGACGTAACTTTGGTAAGGCAGCTATACCCTAAGCTTCGATCCTTGTAACCCAATTAGGATAACTCTACTTATAACTAGGGGGCTCCTATGGCTCCTTGTAGACCGTCAAACCTAAACCCTGAACCCTCTGCTTAGGGTCTTGGGTGTTTAGGGTTTAGGGTTTAGGGTTTAGGGTTTAGGGGGTGGCCTCCTTGTAGGGTTAGGTTCGGCTTCCTGCCCGTCTTCGAAGTCTCCCAGGGCCCGAACCGATGTGCGAATCCGACACCACCTTGACAGCTCGGCGGAAATACCACGTGGATTTAGGGTTTAGGGGCTTAGGGGCTTAGGGGTTTAGGGGTTTAGGGGTTTAGGGGTTTAGGGGTTTAGGGGTTTAGGGGTTTCGGATTTAGATTTAGGGTTTAGGGTCCATAGGGTCCTTGGCCATGGCATTACTCAGGATGCAAGCCAGTGAGACCACTATCCAAGCAGCACTTTTCCAAGACTCGTCACGAACTCGGAGGATGTTCATGTGCGGTTCCCCTAACTCGGGCCCCAACCCTCAACACCAAACCAGCACTACAGTGTGAAGTCTTATTTCAAGTGCACCCCAAAAAACGCAGAAACTAGAGAAATCTTCACAAGCATTGTCATTCTAGGTTATGTTCGATAAGTTATAAGTCCCTCCCGAAACCCTAAACCAGAAACCCTACAACCCCTACAACCCCTACAACCCCTACAACCCCTACAACCCCTACAACCCCTACAACCCCTAACCCCTAAACCCTAAACCCTAAACCAACCCAGATAGTCAAGTAAGGAGGCCCCCCTCCCTGCATGGATTGTGGAAGTGCAGGGTCGCTGGAGTCGAAGCTCGCAGCCGACTGGCTAACATAGGGGCCCCTTCCTTAAGAATGAGGTAATGGGATATGTGAATAAATAAATAAAATACATAACTAAATTATATATATATACAGACAGACAGAGACAGAGACAGATGTGTACATGCATACAATAGGTAGGTACGTATCTGTATACACACCCTGTACTTCTTGCATATATATATATATATATGGATGTACAGATACAGCCCTTCCAGCCCCTTGGTCTGATAGAGGGCCGAGTGGGTTTGCGCCCTGCTGGAAAGACCCTCAAGTTCTTCTTGGTAGCCTAGCAACCATATTACAATAAGGGCACCCTGTTTTTTTTTTTTTTTTTTTTTTGGGGGGGGGGGGTGGTTGCTTTGATAAGGGAACCTTCAACTCCCCCAAAAAAGTGAAAACGGCACCGCTGGGCTGCCAAGTGGTGCCAGCACTAGACCTAACACCATGGCCTGCAAGTGCAAAACATGCTGGTACATTCTACTGCGCAACCTAGAATCATTTCAAAAAAGGTGCCCTCTGTTGTTTAAAGAGGTTTACAAGGGGACCCCAACAACCCCAAAAAGGGAAGGAATAAGGGTACTACCGGGCATCCTTATTTGGGGAAGCAAGGCTGGCTCCCGCTTGCTTTCACGGCGTGAACGCATGGCTGCGGCTTGACCCATTCGTTTGGTTTAGGGCTTAGGGCTTAGGGCTTAGGGCTTAGGGCTTAGGGCTTAGGGCTTAGGGCTTAGGGCTTAGGGTCTAGGGTCTAGGGTTTAGGGTTTAGGGTTTAGGGTGTAAAGGAGGTGGCGTAGATGAAGCTGTGAGACACACACAATAACCCCAGTTGTCACTACCACTCCCCACCAGAAGCTCTGGGTTCAACGCAAGAGAAGCCGGGCTCCAGGCGATGTTTGTCAGGATGGTCCTGGACGGGGTGGTGTCGGAGAGGTACACGCCAGCGTGCGCGGCCTTCCAGACCTGCAAAGGAGATCGGCATCAACCCTGCCTGTGTGATGCTCACCCTCCCCAACCGACCCCGGTTCCAGAGGGCACGAGAAAGAATTGACATGCCATGATGTTATATGACAGATTGTATCCCCAAAGTGAAACAGCAATGCAACGAGAATGTAACAGTACAATATGAACCCGGAGCTGCGGACGCAGCTGCTTCGTAGGGCTTAGCTTGAAGGGCTCGTTAGGTGCTACCCTGAACCCTACACTAAAAACCCTAAACCCTAAACCCTAAACCCTAACCCTAAACCCTGAACTGAACTTCACAATCCAGAGTGCTGGAAGCAACCCTGAAACCGATACGAGGAAAAGGGGCCGCAAATAGTCAGTATAGGGCTTAGGATTTAGGGTTCAGGGTTTAAGGTTTAGGGTTATAGCTTAAAATAGTAGGGGCCTGACTAATTAGACTGGCTGTTTCGTGTTTTGTATATATAAATACTGTTTTTTTGTGGGGGGTTCTAGTTTTATTCTAAAGGGAGCATAGTCGAATACTACTAGTACTTCTTCCGACCCACTACATTCAACTCCCCCGCCCGGGCGCCTTGAACAGGTTGAAAGTCATACAGGTGGTCTGGCGAGCCGTCAACAAGAAAGCCTCAGGGGGGCCTAAACCCTAAACCCTAAACCCTAAACCCTAAACCCTAAAGGGCTCGTGCTGGGTTTGGGGATTGGGGTTTTGGGGTTTGCAAGGATTCGAGTTGAGAGGCTAGAGAGTCAAGGCCTGGGGTGTGAGGCTTGAAGCCCTAAACCCTAAACCCTAATCCCTAAACCCTAAACCCTAATCCCTAAACCCTAAACCCTACTCCCTAATCCCTAAACCCTAAACCCTAAACCCTAAACCACTGACACGATTCTTTAGCTTGCAGGGCTTGCGGACTGAAAAGATCAAGGCTTTCTACGCCCATGCGACGCTTTTCGCATCCCTCATCCACATCAATGCTTTGATACACTTTGCATCCAAAAGTCCTACCGCCCTACCACAGGGGCCTGATTAGAATAGGGTTTTGGGGGGTTATTCTAGTATCATTACAAAGGGGCCATAGGGGTCCAGGCTTCTCAAAGGAATACTACGTACAGCGACAAGCTTGGGGTACTAAGGAACCAAACAGAAGCCGAAAACCGCACCAACGAAAAGGGTCGCTGCACTCAGCCGAAAGCCCTAAGCCCAAAGCCCAAACTCTAAACCCTAAACCCTAAACCCTAAACCCTGAACCCTAAACCCAAAACCCTATCGCTGAGAGCCCGGCACCCACGATGACGGCTGTTGCCTCGTTGTTGAACATTGCGCGGGGCGGGCACGGCTCGGCCTTGACAGAGCAGGGCTAGGCGTTTAGGGCGTGGGGTTTAGGTTATAGAGTTTACGGTTTAGGGTTTAGTGTTTAGGTTTTTAGGGTTTGGGGTTTAGCATTTAGTTGAAAACGTATATACATATGTACACCTATTTTGTACACATCTGGCTTATAATCCTGGAGTTTATGTCAGGTCTACAAATCAGGCTCTATGTAGGTATAATATAAATGAAAATAATAACACTATATATATATGTATATATATAGAGGGCTTATGAAATGTAGGTGCCTTGTCGGGTTCAAAAAACCATTCATATAGAGGATACGCAAAACCCGAAAACTGTTGGGGGTGGGGGAGGGGCTACTAAAACGAGTGCAACATTATAGAGCTCTAGGTTTGATGCAGGCCGCTTTTAGGGTCCTGTCTGGCTTGTAAACTACCCCTGGTTCTTGGTAGGGAATGTTCTTTGCAATTTGGGCCCTATATCATATAAACCCTTTAAGGGATTACCTGGTAATGAACCAGCCCACTACTATGTCCAATGTCTAGTCCAGCCAATGCCACCCCACCTAAGCCCGCCTGAGACCAACACAGCTGAATTCACGCATATAACCCCCCTAAACCCTATAAACCCTAAACCCAGTGCCCACCAAGCCCCCGCATGAGGCTCCACGCTGGCGTCAGGTAACCCATGTCCCGGGAGCCGGCGACCACGTTGCCAATCATACGCACAGGCCTGGCTTTGGGAAACCAGGATTTAGAGCTTAGGATTTAGGGTTTGGGGTTTAGGGTTTGGGGTTTAGGGATTTTAGAAAAGACTTGGGCCTCAAAAGGGGTTCCCATATAATACTTTTGGGGGCCCAAGTATATATAGTCATGGACCCTTAAAATTTTTGAAATCAGAGCTAGGGTCCCCAAAGGTTACATGCACGTAGCAAGCCAATCGCAAATAAAGGCAGACGGGTACCCAAGTGAGTCATCCTACTTATGTAGACCTATATAAGAACTGCTTCCTAGTTCTCGATCCTATTTCGTTGTGTGCGCGTGTTTCTTGGTTCAGACTTTGGAGATTGAGCGGCTTCATGGCATCGCAACATTGTTTCTGTGACTATCGGCTGCAAGCTGCAAAGGGGGGGAGGGGGAGCCCTCCATCCACCGCAGATCGTCTTTGTACGTGCTGTGCTTAAATTGTGGGTGAGTGACCCCGTTTAGTAGAGAATAAACATGATGGGTCCGAGCTACCTTCCTCTCTTAGGTTTCTTGGGAACCCTATAACCCTAAATCCTAAACCCTAAACCTGAAGCCTTGAACCCAAACCCTCGCTCAAAACAAGAAGGCCCTGTGCAGCCCTTTTTTCTTCACATTAGATTTTGGCTCTGGGCTCTCTGTTTAGACCATCCAAGGGAGCCTATGCTTCGGGCTCAGTACGACTAAAGACCAGACACACCCCAACTGACTTGCGACCAACAGCCTTGAACGACGGTCCCAAACCCTAGCCCCAAACCCTGAACCCTAAACTCCAAACTCCTAGACCCCAAGCCCAAGCCTCCCAGACGCGCCCACAGAAATACTACAGCAGCGATGACTTACCGGTTCTGAGTAGGGAAAGATTAGGTGCACCCTCTACCCTTGAAGCTTATATTTCGAGGGGCATAAGGTGGGTAATTGCCTCAATCCCTAAACCCTAAACCCTAAACCCTAAACTAAACCCTACGTAAACCCTACACCCTAAGGGTCCGCAGCTCAGGGCGGGGCAGCTGGTCCAAGCGAATCCCGGCATACTGCGGCACCTCGGGAGCCAGCGTTGAAGGGCTGAAGGGTGTTAGGCGTAGGGTTTAGGGTTTAGGGTTTAGGGTTTAGGGTTTAGGGTTTAGGGTTTAGGGTTTAGGGTTTAGGGTTTAGGGTTTAGGGTTTAGGGTTTTTGGGTATAACCCTTCTCTCAAGGGACAGAGGGGCCTAACTATTGCGACCTTCAGGGCCTGCCATAGGGTTTAGGGTTGAGGGTTTGAGGTACCCTAAGCCCTAAGCCCTAAGCCCTGAACCCTGAACCCTGAACCCTAAACCCTAAACCCTAAACCCTAAACCCTGAACCCTGAACCCTAAACCCTAAACCCATTGCGGGGGAAGCGTGAAAGAACACAGAAGCCAAGGGCTCCCGGCAACCACATCCGTCTCTGACTGCAGCGTCCTCAGTGCGCTGACCCCTACGTTGGAGCAGACCCTGGAAAACATGTATATACTTTTTAACCTAGGCTTAAAAAAGGGTGCCCTTTTTTGCTTGAAGGGGTTCATAAGGGAACCTAAACCCCCCCAAAAGGGAATAAGGGTACTACTGGGCATCCTAGTATAGTAGAACCCAAATTAACGTATTAAAGTAGAGTACTCCAAAACCCAGTCACTTGCCAGATGAACGGGCGTTGGCTTGCAGCCAAGAACTCGAGTTTATTGGGGGCAGAATGGGAATATTGGCTAGTTTTCAGCATAGCTATATCGCGGGGGGACTGTCGGCAATTTAGCTCCTGCATTGCATGCTAACCCTAAACCCTAAACCCTAATTTCGAAACCCTAACCCTAAACCTCCCTCAGATCTAGCTTAAGGCTTTGCACCAACGGACGCGGCTGCTTTCAAGCGAGTCTCATCCGTGGCGCAGTGTCCGCCAGCTTCAGGCCTGCCAAAGCAAACCCTTAAGTTTAGGGTTTAGGGTTTAGGGTTTAGGGTTCAGGGTTTAGGGTTTAGGGTTTAGGGCTTGACCCCCCAAAACCCAAAACCCCAAACCCTAAGCAAACCCTAGTTAAACCCTATTTACACCCTAAGTAAACCCCAATTAAACCCCAATTAAAGCCTATCTAAACCCTCATTAGACCCTAGCTAAACCCATATTAACCTGGATGAATCACTAACTAAACCCTAGCTAAACCCCAGTAAGACCCTAGTTAAACCCCAATGAACCCTAATTAAACCCGAATTAAACCCAATTCAACCCTCACTAAACCCTAGTTAAACCCTAGTAAACCCTAATTGAACCCTAGTTAAACCCGACTTAAGCCCAATTCAACCCTAGTTGAACCCAAATTAAACCCGAACTAAACCCTAGTTAGAGACTCATTGAACCCTAGTTTAAAGCCTAATTAACACCCTACTTGAATTAAACCTCATCGAACTATAAGCTCCTAAAACCCGAAACCCTCAAACTCAAAACCCCTAAGTTCTAAAGCCTACATCTGGACCGGTTGTTTATGCTTTTTGCTAACGGTTTTTGCTGTTGCTTGCTCGGCTTCTTCTTTTTTTTTTTTTTGGGGGGGGGGGGGGGGGGGGGGGGCGGGGAGGGGCGTGTTAGGGTTTGTTTAGGGTTTTGGGTCTTTTTTAAGAGTTGTTTAGGGTTCTTAGGTTCTTTTCAGGGCTCTTTAAAGGGTTTTGTTCAGGGCTTTTAAAGAGTTGTTGGTGTCCTTTGTTTCTTTGTGTTGCGTTGCCGGCGGGACTTTCAAGTTGCAGCCCAAGCATGCCCAGGGCACCAATGATGGCGTTGTCCTTGATCTGCACCGCCGCGGACCCCTGCAGGACAATGCCGTGAAAACGAGGGTAAGGGTTTAGGGTAAACTTAGCTGCTGAGCTCATGAGGCCCCCAAAGAAGTGTACACTTTCAGCTCTATAGTATAGGGGGGTATAGTATCCCAAAAGGTGTAAAGCGTACTCATTCAGATTTTGGGCAAGGTCCACAGGAGCGCAAGCCTCTAGTGGTCAGTATTTTGCTATAGGGTATATGGTGAGCTCTCCAGATGAAGGTCCCGCGCTGTACCCCAACCAGGGGCCGCCCTGTCAGAACTACCCCAAAAGGGCCAATCTTTTCCGGGGTGGCCGTGTGGTCACAACATTTGGGGCGATACAGTCCCCAGGATTAAGGGTGAAGGTGAGGCCCAAGGACCTTCTGCGAGAAGATGCCGCCATTCATCGAGCGGAACATCACCTGGGCTGGGCGGATGCCACAACTCCATGGCCTCCTGGGAGTTTTACTCCCCTTAGAACCTTCATAAAGCTGTACTTATCATCTTCCGAGGATTCCCTTGATTTTATATAAGTAGAGTTTCAGAATAGTTCCTAAGGGGGCTGTAGAGAGACGTTCTTGCAATGACTACATGCTATCCAGCTTGGAACCCTGTCCCTGCAACCCTACTTGGAGGATCGAGGGACTTGGCAAGTAGACAGAAGTGTTCTAAGCTTGCCCCCAAAAAGGGTCCCAATTGGTGTTCTTGTTCTACTTACTACACCCCTGATCCTCCAAGAAAAGCCTGAACCCTGGTTCTACCCTGGTTCTTAGTAGGGAATGAGGAAATGAGGGCCTGTATATACCCTTTAACGGATTAAAAGGGGTACCTCATTCCCACATTCCCTACTGAGAACCAGCCAGCCGGAACCCTAAATCCTAAACCCTGAACCCTGAACCCTCCAGCGAGCCCGGGGCGTTGTTGGTGATGAGGACGGGCGCGTTCGAGGACTCCAGGTGAAGAGCGTATTCCTGGCGGAATTGGGCTGGTCAACCGGGGTTTAGGGTTTAGGGTTTAGGGGTTTCCGGGCATTCACCAGCCGAAGCCGGGGTTTCGGTATTCAGATTAAAATAAGAGGTTGGGATGTTCTCCCTTACACTAGCAGTTTACTACTGACCGTCCTTAATAGGGAACATAACAGGTGCCCTATTAAGAAGTGCTAGTGTGGGAGCTTTTCAAATCAGAGGGCTTATTCGGGATCCTAAGGGTTAGGTTTCAGAGAGCATCGGGTTTCAGGGTAGTAGGATTTAGGCTCTTGGATGATGGCGCTTGGGCTGTAGGTTTCTTGGAGGGCTAATCCGGGCTTAGGGCGGCCCCCAAGGCCAGCGGAAAGAGCCGGATTTGCCACAGAGTCCGTCCATGAGTTGCCATGGAAGATCAGCACCGGCGGAGGCTCCTGGCTTCTGGCAGAGCCATGGTTGGTGGGGTTTTAGGGTTTCAGATTTAGGGGTTTAGGGTTTAAAGGGTAGGGGGCTTTTAGGGTTTCAGATTCAGGGGTTTAGGGTTTAAAGGGTAGGGGGCTTTGAGGGTTTCAGATTTAGGGGTTTAGGGTTTAAAGGGTAGGGGGCTTTTAGGGTTTCAGATTTAGGGGTTTAGGGTTTAAAGGGTAGGGCTTGATGATGAATGGCTTGCAGGGGAGTTGCCAAGGTCGAACCCTCTGCACGACGAGCCGAGCATGGGTACACCTAGTGGCCCAAGAGAGGCTTAGAGGGGTTTAGGGCTTGATCATAGGGCTTAGGGTTTTCATTCTGGGGTTTAATTCGAGGGGCTGAGGAATATATGATGGGTTTAGGGGGTTTAATCATAGGGGTTTAAGGGTTTAGGAGGGCCCTACGGGTCCATGTACCTAAAGAAATGTACACCTGGGCCCCTTTAGAGCCCAAAGTATTCCCTATTTGGGTACATGGACCCTTAGGGGGGGTCTAGGCTTGGGGCAAGCTCGGCTGCCCACGAAGTTGGAGCCGTAGGTGATCTTGACGGCCTTGCAAGTGTAGCAGAGGCAGCTGAGTAGGGGGGGGGGAAGGGGGGAAGGGGGGGGTGGGGAAGGGGGGGGTTTTAGGTTTAGGGTTAGGGTCTAGGGTCTAGGGTCTCGGGTCTAGGGTCTGGGAATGGGATTGGGATCGGGGGGGGGGGGGGGGGGGGGGGTGGGGTGCAAAGTGTCCCATGAATAAGGGTGCGGGGGGTTTGAAATGAGGCTTGCAATCTAGTAGGAGGGAACTTGACCCCAGAATATGCTCAAAGCGCGTGAGGCACTCATCCCGCGGGGGTTATAGGGCCTGAGGGTTGGTTCTTCGGGCTAAACCCTGCCAAGGGTATCCTGAAACCCTGGGCCCTAAACCCCACACCCCAAACCCCTAAACCCTAAACCCTAAACCCCAAACCCCAAACCCTAAACCCTAAACCTCCTGGCGCCCAAGAGCCCTCAACCCGAGCTCCCGGCCGCTGAGAGGGCTCCCTTACCCAGGCTGTGGAAGTTCGTGTACCTCGAGTGGTGGGTTTAGGGTTTAGGGTTTAGGGTTTAGGGTTTAGGGTTTAGGAAGTTCGTGTACCTCGAGTGGTGGGATGTCAGGGCTTGGGAGGGTTTAAGGTTTAAGGGGCTTGGAAGTGAGGGGTTTAGGGTTTAGGGCTAGGATTTAGGGTTCGGGGGATAAGAGAAAGGGTTGAGGGGGGGTTTCAGGGCTTCGGGTTTAGGGCTTTCAGGGGTTTTAGGGCTTCGGGATGCTTCGGGTATAGGAGGTTTAAGGGCTTGCCGTGGATCTCCCAGGACCTAAGTACCGACCAAGAGACCGGACCCCGAGCCCGGAAGCACTGACAGCCAGCCTCTGTTGATCCAAACTCAGGTACTCATCATGCAACCTAGCCGACTCATAGCGCCACATTGGCCCGGGAGCTGAGGTAGTGCGGATATCCGTGCGCAATCTGCGTCCCAAAAAGTCGAGGGACACGAAGCTCCCCATCCCGAACGCCCCTTCAGCTCCAGACCCTCAACCCCAAACCCAAAACTGAGAACCTCAAGGCGTTCCCTATCCCCAAAGCCCTCGAACCCTAACAGGCCCTCCAGCACCAGTCGCAGCCCTGTTAACCCTAAACCCTGAACCCTGAACCCTGAACCCTGAACCCTGAACCCTGAGGCCCTGGCTGGAAGCTGCATTCACCTTGAAGGATGTGGCTAGGGGTTGATGGTTATTCAGGGTTGAGGTTCTCTTTAGGTTTTTAGGGCTCTAGATTCATGATCTTGGGGGATATGGCGGGGTGTTTGGCGATATGGAACTTCACTGGGGGCTGAGTGAGTGTACTGACAGGCCGCCCCCACCACCCCGGAAGAAAAGGAAACATAGAGGCGCTGGCCTTTGAGTAGGGCCTTTCTTGAGCCTCATGTAGACTGCGGGGTTTAGCTGGCGGGCCCTGAACTCTATTACAAACCCTAAACCCTAAACCCCACAGAACCCTTAGAAGGGATGCGCCAGGGCCTCGGCAAAGGCGCCCTGAAAGCGGTGATCTGAGGGAATCAAAGGCAACTCCCGAGCCCCGAACGATGCCGAGAAACCCTCAAAATTCGAAGCCCTCAACAACGTGTGGTTCCCCTCAATCTTAGAGATGAAGACAAAGAGGCTGCAAAGGGTTTAGGGTTTAGGGTTTCGGGTAACCCAAGAGTCTGCCAACCGTACGTAACCCAGGAATGAACAGGGGGTGCCCGTTTTGGTTTAAAGGGGCTTGTAAGGGGAACCTAAACACTAAGTTTGTGATTCAGGAAATGAGGGTTTAGGGGCTTTGGGCCTTTTTAGCCCTAACCCTGGCGGCCCACTTTGCCCACAAAACCTGCAACCCCTGTCCTGAACCCTGGAGACTTGAACCCAAATCGTAACCCCAAACGCCTTTAAAACTTAAACCCTAAACCCAAAACCCCAAACCCCACACTGCTTGCAGCCGCAGTGGCCCACGACGCTGCTCCCCATGAGGTCTCCCAGCGCCCTCAGGGGAGCCAACTTCATTAGTTTAGGGTTTAGGGTTTAGGGTTTAGGGTTTAGGGGTATAGATTCTTGGTCGTAGTTGTCATCTTGCTGCTTCTGGCATTTCTGCTTGTCTTCTACTCACCAGTAAAGTAGGTCGCCCCCACCAGCCAAAAAAAACCACGATTGGGGGTCTTGGTGGCCCTAAACCCTAAACCCTAAACCCTAAACCCTAAACCCTAAACCCTAAACCCTAAACCCGAAACCCTAAACCCTAAACCCGAAACCCTAACCAGGCGTTAACGTCTGAAGGCTTCGCATGGGCAGCGGGCTTTTGTTTTGGGATGCTCAGGGTTTAGGGTTTAGGGTTTAGGGTTTAGGGTTTAGGGTTTAGGGTTTAGGGTCTTCGTGCTTCTGAGGGGCTTTGGGCATTTGGGCGGGGTCTTGCGAATGCGAGGATGAAGTCCTACCCGCCCTAAGTGTAGGGTTTAGGGTTTAGGGCTAAGGGTTTGGGGTGTAGGGTTTCGGGTGTGGGGTTTAGGGTTCAGGGTCTGGGGTTTAGGGTTTCGGGCTGTTTTGCATCCCCGAGGCTACGAAACGTCTCGATGGTGGGCTCAATGGCAGTGGACCCTGCAAGGTCCGTACCCTTCTCGCCAACAAAAATGTGTAATACAGAGGCCTGAATGATTAGAATAGGGTTTTGGTGCTTATTCTGGGATTATTATCGAGGGGCCATAAGTGAATATCATGAGCAATTATTCCGAGCCCTACTTTCTGAGGTTTCTAGTTTCCCAAAAGGGCACCCCATGTATACACTCAGCAATCTTTTCAAGGAGTTCTAAACACGCTAACCAGTAACTCTAAGATAAAGACTGTTTCATACCAACCGCCACTTCTGTGATCTCAATAAACCCTCAACCCTCGGTCCTGAACCTAAATTGTACACATGGGCACCGCTTGCAGCAACCAGCCCCTCTAAGCCCTGGGGATCCAGCATACCCCAATGGGTGTAGTGTTTGGGTTTTAGGTCATCTCCCATGGTCCTCTACGTGGTTCCTTACGTGGAGGATTGTGGGGTCTTAGTAGTTTAAAGTAGGGTTGCTAAGCATTATATCCCAAATCAGGGTCCCTTGCGCCTGTTTTACAAGTCCCCCGATCCTCGCATTGAGAGTGTACGCAGGCTGTGCCAAAGTTCCCGCGGCACCCTAAACCCGAAAGCCCACGTAGCCTCTTCAAACCCGAAACCCTAAACCTTGTAAAACCCTAAACCCTAAACCCTAAACCCTAAAACCTAAACCCTAAACCCTCAACCCTCAACCCTAAACCCTAAACCCTAAACCCTAAGCCAAACCCTAAGCCCTAAGCCCTAAACCCTAAACCCTAAACCCTAAACCCTAAACCCTAAACCCTAAGCCCTTGCTTCTCCGAGCTCCCGGCACATCGAAGACTTCGATGTGACCTGGCGCAAGGCGCAGGTGCTTCTGGGGCTTCTAAGCCTGAGCCTAAACCCTAGCCCTAAACCCTAAACCCTAAACCCTAAACCCCAAACCCTAAACCCTAAACCCTAAACCCTATGAGCCCGTCCAGAAGGGTCCAAAGTTTGCTTAGGGTTGAGGGATTGCGGTTTAGGATTTCTGGTTGTTTTTAGGGTTTCGGCTTTCGGGTTAACCTTGAACATTAAGCCCTATAAACCCTGTAAACCCTAAACCCTAAACCCCAAGACTCGATTCAGGCGCCTCCGTAGGCGCTGCCACCAGTGCCGTCGATCTCCCGAGACTCAATGATCACCTCAGGGGACTGAAAAACCTAATCTACAAAACGTTTGTAGGGTTTAGGGTTTAGGGTTTAGGGTTTAGGGTTTAGGGTTTAGGGTTGAGGGTTGAGGGTTGAGGGTTGAGGGTTGAGGGTTTAGGGTTTAGGGTTTGGGGTTTAGGGTTTAGTTTTTAGGGTTTAGGGCTTATATACCCTGTTCAAGTTAGGGGCCCATGCATCAGAGCCCTTTAAAGGAGGTTAGGGACCATATTAAGGGCCCATGAAACTACCCTCAGAGGTTGAGGGCTCCTTAAGGCCCTAAGCCCTAAGCCTGGATGGACCCAGAGCCCACAATCCTCGTGCCACCAGTACACGCCCTGTCAAGCCCAATCCCTCAACTCCCTATACCTTAGACCGCAAAGCCCTAAACCCTAAACCCCAATCCCCTAAACCTTAGAACCCTAACACCCTAAACCCCTCACCCCTGACACCTCAACTTTGATCTCTGTTACTTGAGCCATGGCACGGTGCGGTCCAGGCGGGTGACGATGCCTCGCAAGGAGACCTGGCAGTGAGATTCAGTTTAGGGTTTAGGGTTTAGGGTTTAGGGTTTGGGGTTTGGGGTTTAGGGTTTAGGGTTTAGGGTTTCGGGTTTAGGGTTTAGGGCTTTGCCCTACAGACTCCCGTTTGCAGTGCCTTGTTGCGGGTACCACCGAACTTGAACTTGAAAAAGGTGCCCGAATAGGAACTGCAGTCGGGCTTGGGCAGGGGGATGATACCTGCACTCTAAACCCTAAACCCAAAACCCTAAACCCTAAACACACGTTCTATGTCTTGAAGGATGAAGGACAAGCAACGCCAACGGCCCTTTCTATGGCTTCAGAGGAGAGCTTCTACAACACCCTAGACCCCAAACCCTAAACCCTTAACCCTTAACCCCAAGCCCCAAACCCCAAACCCTAAGCCCTAAACCCCAAACTCCAAACCCCAAACCCTAAACCCCAAACCCCAAACCCTAAACCCTAAACCCACCTTCTGGCCGCCGCCAACATCGATGTCGTCGGCGAAGCGGCGCTCCCCAAGACTGCCCGACCAGCGGAGCCTGTGGCATGGGACCAGCCCAAAGGGAATCTCAGGGTTTAGGGTTTATAGGGTATAGGGTATAGGGTTTAGGGTTTAGGGTTTAGGGTTTAGGGTTAGGGGGCTGCCAACAAGAGGGTCATCCTTTTCTCAGGAAAAACGTTCGTGAGTATTTTCCTCTAATAAGGGAAGACGCAGCATGCCCCAACAAAATGTCCCAAGGACCTACCTAGTCATTCAGTTTATGAGCCATTAAGTATGACAGAGGGATCACATCTCCACATAGCACCTCCATTCTAGACCCTAAATCCTACACCCTGAAACTAAACCCTAAATCCTAAACCCCCCCAAACCCTATACGCAGGCACCGGAATTATTATAATAATATTGTATTCTGCGGGCACATATAATATTAGTATTAGCCCGCACGTATTATTATATTATTACGAAGTGAATAAAATGAGCGTAATTTTGCAAGAAACGAAAGAGCCGCGCGAAAATAAGCGAAATTATGAACGTAGTGTGTGGAGAGAATCCTAAAGGTAACAAAGAATCCTGGTAATCGAGGGAGATGTCGTAAGTTGTCTTTATGAGATTGGTTTACACGGGCTAGTTATTATTATGTAGACGCCCGTGTGCACCCTTAATAGAATGCTCAGCCTCGGCATTGTGGATCTAGTCTGGCATTAAAAAGCTGAATGATTTGGGGGACTGGGATGGAAGATAAGATGAGTGTGCTTTGGGATGTGCTCCTTTATACTAACAGTCCTTCATCGGGATTATTATATAGTACCCCCTCGCATAATCCCTTTTAAGGACTGCTAGTCTAAGGGAGAACATCCCAGAGTATGCTCTTTGTGACGTCAGCGATCACCACTGCGCCGTGGCCTGTAGCATCCATTCTCTTCGTCGTACTCCTTGGCCGAGAAGCCGCTTATTCTGTAGAAACAGGGTTTAGGGTTCAGGGTTTAGGGCTATAGAACTGTAGAAACAGGGTTTAGGGTTCAGGGTTTAGGGTTTAGGGCTATAGAAGGGAGGCCCTAAAATCTAATCCTCCAAACGCAAGCGTAACCTCGGAAACAGACGGGTACCCTTCTTGGCCTATAGGGGCGAAGAAGGGAACCTGAAACTAACAACAAAAGGGAATGAGGGCCTACTCTGGATGCCAGTAGCCCTAAGCCCTAAACTCTAACAAAAAGGGGAATAAGGGCCTACTCTGGGTCCTAGACCTTGACATCTAAACCCTAAACCCTGCGTGGACACCATGCTCGGCTTGTCGCAAGCCCCGCGACTCACCCAATGCCGTGCAACATGAGAGAGATGTCCCAAAGCCCTTCTTCCTAAACCCCTGCTAATTCCTAAACCCTAAACCCTAAACCCTAAAACCTAACCCTGAACCCTCAACCCTCAACCCTAAACCCTACCCCCTCTCCCCAGCCACCCACCCACCCACCCAGCCAAAAAACAAACTGAGGACCGTGCCGGATCCTCTGTGAGAGTGCGCGACACCGTGCGGTCCCATGGGTTGTCAAACCTGGCTTGGGCCGGCCCCCTAAACCCTAAACCCTAAACCCTATAAGCCCTTTCAAGGCTTATAGGTTGGGATGTTCCCCCTTATACTAGCAGTCCTTAGTAGGGATTCCAGTACCCCCTATGATCATCCCCATTAAGGACTGTTCGTATAAGGGGGAACGTGCCAATTTATAGGGCTTCAGGTTCAGGGGTTAGGGTTTAGGGTTAGTTTTTCTTCAAAGCTGGACTCATTAGTCAAGAGGTTAGGGTTTAGGGTTTAAGGTTTAGGGTTTAGAGTTTAGGGTTTAGGGTCTGAAGTTTAGGGTTTCACGTACAGGGTCTAAGGGGTAGGGTGAAAGGTTGGTTTAGGGCTTAGGGTTTAAGGTTGGGGTTTGAAGGGTTCAGGGTTTAGGGGATAATGCTGGGGGCTTACTTAGGGCTTGTACAGGGCTTGACGTTCGGGGCCCAGAGGTGTAGCAAATAGTAGCAAGGCATTTGGGGTTGGTTCGGGGCTCGAGGCGTGACAAGGAGCAACTCCGAATCTGGTTTGCTTTTGTTTTGTGTGCGGTATTGTTGCAAACGGCTACTAGAAACCCTAAACCGAAACCCTTAAACCCGAAACCCCAAACCCTGAAGAGTGACAGGCCAACTACAAGAAGAAGGCTTGGGGGTTCAAAAGCTTAGAGTCTCGCGGCTTGGGGCTTCAGACTTGACAGCTCCTTTGGACCCCAGTCACCGGATTGAGTAAGGGGTACCCTAAACCCTAAACCCTAAACCCTAAACCCTAAACCCGAAACAACCCTATAGGTTTAGGGTTGTAATACCAAGAACTCATGACGCGCCCTCTGCGCAAGCATGGCAATAGTGCTCCGTAGGGGAGAAGCCCACGAGTGCACCAGCTGGCCAGTCGAGCGGCCTGCGAAATGGGAGTACTTGTAGGGTTTAGGGTTTAGGGTTTAGGGTTTAGGGTTTAGGGTTTAGGGTTTAGGGTGTGGGTTCAGGTTTCAGAGTTTAGACTCCCCAATTGTAGGATTCCCTGTTGATAAAGGACCCCAATAAGGTACCCCAATTTCTGGAAACCCCCATTTGGGAGTTCCGGCTTCACCTTTTCTGGCAACTGCCAGCACCCAATGTCTGCTTGAGGCTGCCAAATACTGAACGGGGACAGGATGCTTCAATGAAGGCTAGGGGGGTGGGGACACTCCTGACACCAGGTTGGTATGAAGTAACCCTGTGAATAACTAGGCTAGCATTGTTTGGGATTGGCTCCCTTGATAACCTACAACACGAAAAAAAGGGGCAACAGGGTACCACTGTCCTCCTTGGTAGCCCAGTAACCATATTACAATAAGGGCACCCTTTTGTGGGTTGGTTATTTTATAAGGGAACCCATAACCAAAGAAAGGGTAGGTAAAGGGTACCACTGGGCTGCCGAACCTCCCATGTCCTCCCGAACCCGGCCCGGTAGTGTTCCAGACGCACGCAGTCTCGTCGTTCGCACCGATGGTCATCGCCAGGCGCAGCCTGTCGCCCGCGCCGCCCAATTCTAAAGTGGTTTAGGGTTTAGGGTTTGGGGTTTAGGGCTTAGAGGGTTTAGGGTTTAGGGTTTAGGGTGAATTTAGGGTGCCTCGTTCCGAGGGGATGATCTTTAAATTTGCTAGCGTTGCAATGCCACGACAGCGAACCCTGGAAAGCTTCTAGAACTCTAGACCGCGCACCTGAAACAACGAGCCCTAAACCCGAAGCAGCAGAACCCCCACACACTGAACCTGTCTCAAGTCAACCTGTCGAGTCTCCTACTTTGGAGTAGACCCTGGACTAAAGGTCATTACATGTTAGGTAATAAGTAGCTATAATGGGGAACCAAGAACCAAGAACAGTATTAAAGTATAGGTACTCTAAAACCCAGGGTTTAGGGTTTAGGGTTTAGGGTTTAGGGTTTAGGGCAGAGTCGCAATGTTGACCCAGCGGCCAGGTCTCGTCGATGGGTGCTCCATACGTTTGGAACTTAGCATGCAGAGTGAGGAGCAGGATTCAGGAGTTCAGGAGAGGTTATAACTTAGTTGCTGAGTTCATAAGCCCCCCCCCCCCCCCCCAAAAAAAAAAGGTGCGCATTTTCAGTTCAAAAGGGGATTGTAGGTTGCCAAAAAGTTTAAAAGTGTACTCATTCAGCTACTAAGTTGAGTTCAAGTTTAAGGCTGAAGGGTTGGGCCACGTGCTGACAAAGCGAGATGCGGGGCTTCAAGTATGCAGTTCGATAGCATCGCAGTTGCTGGGGGGGGGGGGGGGGGGGGGAGTTTGCTCTGAACTGGGGATCTAGAAGACGAAAACCCTCATCCCCCCAAACCCCCAAGTTCAGGGTTTAGGGCCCTAAACCCTAAACCCTAAACCCTAAACCCCTAAACCTAAACCGACGCTAAACCCTGCAAGCCGGCACAGTGCTCCTTGGCTCCCGGCAATGCCCGGCACGGCAATCACCTAGGGGTTTAGGGTTTAGGGTTTAGGGTTTAGGGTTTAGGGCTTCACCTCGAGGAGGTTAGTAGTCAGTTAGTTGGTCTATGTCCCTCTCTTGGGTAGCTCAAAGAAAGGGCCGTCTAAATACAGCGGCCGAGCCCTAAACCCTAAGCGCTAGTCACTAAAACCCTAAACCCTGAACCCTGAAACCCTAAACCCTAAAACCCTAAACCCTAAACCGTAAACCCTGGAGCAATCCATGGCCTTGCCCCAAAGGCTTTGCTCTTCCACGTACACGTAGTCCTGCCGATCGGGTTCAGGGTTTAGGGTTTTAGGGCCTAGGATTTTAGGTTTTAGGTCTTAGGGTTTTAGGGTTAGGGTCTTAGGGCTTGGGGTTTTAGGGTTTTAGGGTTTAGGGTTTTAGGGTTTAGGGTTTTAGGGTCTAGGCTTCAGGGTTCGGCGGGATTTATGGTTTGGGGCGCCCGATTTGATTCAGCTAGCGAGGGCTCAAAAAAAATCAGGGCGAGAGCTCTACGACCGACCAAGTGCCGAGCTTGAAGGGTTGTCGGATGCGGGTTTTAGGGTTTAGGGTTTAGGGTTTAGGGTTTAGGGTTTAGGGTTTGGCTAACCTGTGCAGGCCAGAAATGGCTGCTACCCCCCTCTATACCACCACCCCTAGGTTCCTCCCTTAAATGGCCTGAATTAGGGTTTAGGGTTTAGGGTTTAGGGTTTAGGGTTTAGGGTTTAGGGTTTAGGGTTAAATAGCCTTAAGTATGGGGGGAACCTTGGGATTGTAGTATGGAGTGGGGCAGTAGGGGCACCCATGAGCCTTCAAGTGTCTTGACCAAGAATGGAACAAGCAAAGCCTTAAGCTGAACCTAGGGTTTAGGGTTTAGGGTTTAGGGTTTAGGGTTTAGGGTTTAGGGTTTAGGGTCAAAACATCGAGCTTTCGGTGTGATGATCCATGGTAGACACCCAGCCCTCTTAAACTCTAAGCCCGAAGAGCGCATACCCCCGAAACCCTACCCGCTGCGGCCCTAAACCCTGCACCCTACGTCCTAAGGCCCTATACGGTCAACCCTAAGGACCCGTACCCTAAACCCTAAACCCTAAAACCCCAAATCTATAAACCGAAACCCTAAGGCCCTACACCCTAAACCCGAAAAAATCCACACCTTACATCCCCCAATCTCCATTCCCCTGCCACGTCCTCCGTGTTCAGAACGTATCCGCGAAGCACGATCTGGGCCTTCTTCCCAGTCTCGGCACCGAAAGGCTTCTGCGGAGTGCCTGGGCTGAAAGAAACCTTATATATATATATATATATATATATCATGAACACATGTATAATCTAAACGAACATATAAATATAATAGAATATAGCATAATTCAATAAAGCATAATATATATATATGTATATACATACATACATACCATGAGATAAGATAATTTCACATCATAATCGTCGTGAGTATATGACTATGCTTGTGTAGTTGTCAAAATATGTGTGCTTTTGTCCGCTTCTTAGTATGTGCCTGCGATGATAGTTTCAATGAAAACGGTATAAGTATGTCATTTTGAAGCTGCATTGGGATTCCCGAGAAGTTAAAGATGACACGGAGAATAGGTTCAAGGTGTAGATGGCTTACCACTTGGCTCTAGGAAACAGCGCCTGCGAGTGAGGCATCGCTCAGTTCAAGCTTATCTTATAGGGTTCTTAAGGGGTTCATGGGGGGTAGGTGGGGAAGCTTAGGGAGCCTTCGGGAAGTGGAGTACTCGGGAGCCTCGAGTTACATACCCCCACAGAACCGCCCTCCCTTAAGAACCCTACAACCCATCGCTCGAATTTCCAAGCGCGGCGAAATTGAACCACCACAAGTGCAGAAACAGCGGGCGGCAGGGCTCAGGTAAGGGCTAAGGGCTCCTAGCTCATAAAGGCTTGAAGGCTTTGGGCTCAGGGCTTGGTCGGGCTTAGAAGGGTTTTTTGAAGGGCTGATAAGCTACTTCCTGCGTCCAAGTCCCCCTAAGCCCTGAACCTTAGAGCCAAAAAAAAAACTGAAACCCTGAACCCTAAACCCGAAACCCTAACCCCTAAGCCCTGAACCTTAAACCCAAAAGACCTTTCAACCCTGAACCCTAAACCCCAAACCCTTCATCCTAAGACCTGAACCCTAAACCCTAAACCCTAAACCCTAAACCCTAAACCCTAAACCATGGCTTGCCACGGGGCCGATTTCCAGCACACCCCACACGAGGATGCTGTCTGTCCAAGGAGCAACGCTTCGGGCGGCTTTTGGGTTCAGGGGAGAACCAAGGTTTAGGGTTTAGGGTTTAGGGTTTAGGGTTTAGGGTTTAGGGTTTAGGGTTTAGGGTTTAGGGTTTAGGGTTTAATTAGGGTTTAGGGTTTTCTAAGGGTATTTGCATGGTCCCTTGATATGGGCCCTTAAAAGGGGACGCCATATAAACCCCTTGCATACCCTATACAACCCAAGGGCCCATACTTCAGAACCCTTTAAAGAAGGGAATGAGGGAATTGGGGCCCTATATATACCTTTTCAGGGGATTATATGGAGTACCTCATTCCCTCATTCCACCTTAAACCCTAAAACCCTAGAGCCCCAAACCCTAAACACTCAACCCTAAACCCCCTACTAAGAACCAGCCAGAACAACTTGAGCAACAGCAAAGGCCTTGCCTGTCACGAAGAAGCGGTCCGCACCTGATGCAAGGGTTCGGACTTCGGAGCAGTCTCAGGGTTTATAGGGTTTATAGGGTTTATAGGGTTTACAGGGTTTACAGGGTTTATAGGCTTTATAGGGTTTATAGGGCTTATAGGGTTTATAGGGTTTAGGGAGTTTCACTTAGGGGGGGGCGCCCCCTAGAGTTACCCAAACAAAACCTAGAAACTCTTGTCTTGCTAGCCCTATTTCGGAATCTTGTAGCACAAAATGGATATTTGCTTCAAACTTGTTCACGGGTTACCCAGTAGTACAAGGGTGTAGGGCTTAGGGTCCCCCCCATGCTGGGGTCCTAAAACCTTTAAAGCCCTGAACCCCAAAACCTTTAAAACCCTAAACCATAAACCCGAAAACCCCAAACCGCTAGACCCTATAAATAGGGATCCGAAAAGCCCCCAAGCATGGCAAAAGGGCTAGGAAGTTCTCTTGCCAACGCACACTGCATCCGTGCAGCTCTCTGCTTCTCGCTTACTTAGGGTTTGGGGTTTAGGGTTTAGGGCCCCTCCAAGGAGGTGCCCCGTATGCTAACTACAGTTAAGGGACTCGTAAACTAAGTTAGGATCCTTATAACCCAATTTAGGGTCGTTATAACTCTACTTATGACTAAAGGGTCCATGTACCTAAAGAGGGAACACTTGGGCCTTAAAGCACATCGTATATTGGGCCTTTGGGGCCCTAGTATCCTGTGATGAAGTACATGGGCAATGGCCAACAAAGTCTTCCCAGCCAGACCCTGGGAGGATCGGAAAAGTAGATCCCTGAAGGGTTTCGAATAATGACCCCCAGCAGTAGGAAAAAGTAGGGTTTGGGGTTCAGGGTACTATTTGGGGGTTCTACTTCTTGGGATCCTCCCAGGGGTTTAGGGTTTAGGGTTTAGGGTTAGGCGTCGTGGCAGTACGGCGCCACTGAGTATCCGGCTATCGTCGAAGGACAGCTTGCCGTAGATGGTGAGGTTCTTGACGCGCACATCCGGCCTATACTGAACTTGGAACTATATCAAAAACTTATAGTTTTTGCTGTTTCTTAGGAACTACAGTTCTTGGGAATTATTACAGTACCCAAATACAGATAAGAAGTATTTCCAAGTGCCCCGAAGCGGCAGGTCCATAAGGATCCAGTCCTCCTTCTTGATTTCGATGATCTCGGCAGTGGCATCACCTCGGTGTGCCAAGGCAACAGCTGTAGATCTTGGAACGAGAACCTCTGGGTCTGCATAGGGTTTCGGGCCGCGCAGCGGGGAAACAAGGCGCGCTTGCGGAAGACGTGCCCAAACAATTAGTGAAGCAACATCGCACCCGGCTTTCTCTGCGTCAGGTTTCGGAGGTGTCAGCAGCTTGGTGTTGCAGCACTTGCGGCGAACGTCACGAAACCCCAAGAACCGAAACCCGAACACTCGAAACCCGAAGCCGTACCCAGAGAAACCTTGTACCTTAAAATGGGGAAGATGTCCCAACGCTTCAGGTACATCACCCCTTATTTCAGGGCACAGACGTTACCGTAAGCCCTAAACCCTAACACGAAAACCCTAAACCCTAAACCCGAACCCCCGCTTTAAGGGTACCCGATGTAGAACCCAGAAACCCCCCACATGTTCCATCGCTACTTCATTGGATGTAGGTCCCCCACCAAACTTCTCGCTCCACCTGCACAAGGGTGGTGTCTGTGTCAGCCCTAAACCCTGAACCCAAAATCCTAAACCCTGAACCCTAAACTCTGCCTAAACCCTGCACATGTACACCTGTTATAACGGCCCGGAGTAGTTCCAGCAGTAAGGCTGCGCCCTGCGACAGTCATGACTGGCATGAGCAGCTCATTCCCAGCCTACTGGGGGTAGTTACATGGTCCCTTCGCATGGGCCCTTAAAAGGGGACCGCTCATATACCCCTTACATACCCTATACGACCCAAGGGCCCATATCGCAGCAGCCTTGAAAGGAGGTAAGGGACCATATTATGGGCTACCAACCTTCAATTTAAACCCTCAACCCAACACCCAAAACCTAACACCTAAGCCCGAAAAACTTGTAAAGGCCCTAAACCCTAAACCCTAAACCCTAAACCGTGAACCCTAAACCCTAAAACCCTAAAACTCGCGTCTGTGGCGCCGGGAGCCTTCGGCCAGCCTACTCGAGGCTTCCCTGCCCTACCAAACCAAAACCCTGCACCCCCGAAAGCCCTGAAACCCAAGAGTAGCCTGGGAATAACACAGGGTGCCCGTTTAGGTTTAAAGAGGCTCATGAGGGAACCCAAACCCTAAACCCTAAACCCTAAACCCTAAACCCTAAACCTCAAAACAGGAGCAATTAGGGCCCATTCCGGGTCCTAGAAACTCTGAGGAGTGCGCAGGATGTAGTGCGACCAGTTCTGCTGGCGGTCAGGAAGGCCTCAGTATGGGTTTAGGGTTTAGGGTTTAGGGTTTAGGGTTTAGGGTTTAGGGTTTAGGGTTTAGGGTTTAGGGTTTAGGGTTTAGGGCTCAGAGCAAGCGCACATGCTCAGGAGTTTCGTATTGGGCTTAGAACAATTTGGCGGTTAGTTGTTCCTATTTGAGACTCAAGGTTCATTCGGGGGGGGGGGGGGGGTGGGATAGACCAGGTTTAGGGCGTAGTTGCTAGGGTTTAGGACGTAGGGTTGTTTGGTTCAGTGTTGGGATTGCAGGGGACGGATTGGAATCTTGGGCGTGTCGCTGCAACTTTGCAATATGTAGGGTTCTCTGAATTTTTGCCCCACACCCAAAACCCTACACCCTAAACCAGATCCCCTAACCCCTAACCCCTAAACCCTAAACCCTAAACCCCACACCCTAAACCCTAAACCCACAGACAAGGACCCCGGGCCCTGCAGGCATCCTTCATCCGGGCACTTACGCGCCTGCCAGCGCGGGCAGGAGCTTTTTGGGCTCCAGGGCTTCAGGGCTTCAAGTGCTGCAAGTGCTTCGTTCTTAAGGAAGGGTTTAGGGTTTAGGGCTTAGGGTTTAGGGTATAGGGTTTGGGGTTTGGGGTTCAGGGTTTAGGGCTTAGGCTTTAGGGTTTAGGGTTTGGCATTAGGGGTTGAGGGTTTAGGGGGCTTGTAAGAGGCATAAATTCGTAAATGCTACCTAACACGCGCCTCAGGTTGTTTCATTTTGCTGGAGTGGTGAGTGGTTCCGACAACCTAAACCTAAACCCAAACCCGAAACTAGGCTATCAACCCTAAACGCCCCCTACAAATAATAGAAAATCAAACCCACATATAAAATCCATGACAAATAACAAATAATACACAATAAATGATAACACATGGAAAAAACGCCTAGGAAGAAGTAAAAAGTCATAAGAAATAATGGTAACTTAGTACCTAACCCTGAGGGTCCATGTACCTAAATAGGGAACACTTGGGCCTTAAAGTACCTCCTGTATAGGGGCTGTTGGGCCCAAGTATATAATGAGGAGGTGCATGGACCCTTAGGGTAGCTTTCCCGTTGGTTAGCAAGGAATGAGGGAATGAGGTACCCCATTTCCCCCTATCCGCCGACCCCAGCAACAGCGGGGCGGCGTCAGTGAAGACCCTCCCTGCCCTCACCGCAACCTCTTCCCCCTTCCCCTTCCCAACCATTCCACTCCACCTCTCCACTTGGCCTTGCCTTCCGCCCCTAACCTCCCACCACCAACCCCTTCCCCAGCCCCCCCTCCCACAACCCTTCCCCTTCCCAACCATTCCACTCCATCCTCCTCCCCTACCCCTTCCCCACCCCCAATCCACCCTTCTCCAGCCACTTACCTCACCTCCTCCACCTACCCCCCTCAACCCCCCCCCACTCCATCCTCCTCCCCTACCCCTTCCCCCAAGCCACTCCATCCTCCTCCCCTACCCCTTCCCCATCCCATTCCACTCCATCCTCCTCCCCTACCCCTTCCCCATCCCTGCCCCCCTCTCACCGTACCACCCTCCACCCCCACCCCTGCCCCCTCCCACTACCCTTCCCCTTCCCAACCATCCTCCCCTACCCCTTCCCACCATTCCACTCCACCCCTCTCCCACCGCCCTACCGCTCCCCTTACTCCACCCTTCCAAACTCCCCCCCCCCCCCACCCACCCCACCCCCCCAACCCCTCCGCCCTCTGCTCTGGTTTTACGGGCCTCTTCCCACCCACTGCCCATCGCCCCCTCACTTCCCTCACCATCTCCCACCACCAACCCCAACCCCTGCCCCCCCTCCCACTACCCCTGCCCCCCCTCCCACTACCCTTCCCCTTCCCAGCCATTCCACTCCATCCTCCTCCCCCCCCACGCCCCCCCCACACTCCAGCCCGCCTTCCACCCAACTCCCCCAATCCCCCCACCCTCCCCCCCCCACCCACCCCACCCCCCCAACCCCCCGTGGCTCATGGCCACCTGGTTTTACGGCTTTCTGGCAGACCCGATCAGCTGACTGACAAAGGGCTCCGCCCTTCCCGCCCGCTCCGCCCACCCTCCCCATCGCCCCCTGACTTACCTCACCATCACCGTCCCCCCAACCCCCCCCCTGGCCAGCTGGCCATGGCATACCCTTGACCTGGCCCTGTGTCATGGCCCCCACAGTTTTTGTGGCCTCTGGCCCCTTGCCTCTCTAGACTCGATCAGATCACTGACGTTAAAGGGCTCCAGTGCATGCCCCCCCCCCCCCGCCCGCTCCGCCCGCTCCGCCAGCTCCGCTTGCTCCCTTCCCCCCCCCACCCCCTCTGGCCAGCTGGCCATGGCCCCCAATGGGTCGATGCCCTTGATGGTCCCCTGCCCTGTGCCTACTTGCTCATGGCCCCACGGTTTTACGGGCCTCTGGCCTTTGCGATGACTGACTTTATCCGCCGACCCCAGCCGGGGGCGGCGTCAGTGAAGACCCACTGCTTTTTATACTACCTTCCAGACCTCCATGCTGGCCCCCATCCATGGCTACACGCCCTCTCACCACCCCCCCCAACCCCGCTACCCCCCCTCGCCGCCCCATGGCCCCATGGTCCCCTGGCCCTATGCCTCTAGACCCGATCAGATGACTTTATCAGATGACTTTAAAGGGACCCATGGCTCCTGGCCCCATAAAGGGCCCCAGTGCATGCCCGTCCGCTCCGCCCGCTCCGCTTGCTCCGCCCTTCCCCCGCTCCACCCGCCCTCCCCGCCCGCTCCGCCCGCCCTCCCCATGGCCCCATCCCTTCGACCTCCATGGCCCCATGGCCCCCATGGACCGATGGCTCCTATGAGCTTAGGGTTTAGGGTTTTCTTGGACGTTTAGGGTTTAGGGTTTCAGGGTGTAAGGGTTGTAAGTTTAGGTTTCGGGGTTCCGGGTTTCGGCATTGAGGTTGTAGGGTTTTGGGTTTAGGGCCTTCAGCGTGCCATCAGCAAGACTCTCTTAGATCTGGGGTCGGCGGCACTGGCGGTAGCCATTAAATCCGGCCCCCGCGCCGCCCGTGGTCCAGGGCGGAGCCCGCGTCGCACTAAAGCGCTAGCTTTAAGGGGCGAGCGCCCGAGCCGCCGACCCCGCCCAAAATTGCTTCAAATTCGCGCGGGGCCCTTCGGGAGGCCTCCAAAACGGCATCCAAGGGGACGCAACACGCGGTGGTGCGAAAAGCACGAAAACCTCGTAAAAACCATGGGTTTTTACGAAAAACCGAGGCCACAAAACACCCGCAGCACCCCATTAAACCCTCACGGGCGCGCATCATCGGCCCTAGCTTTTCACATGGGGCGCGCGCCAGGCCGAAACCACGTTTTTCAAGGTTTGGGGGGGGTACCGGAAGCCCAAAACCAGGCGAGCATCATGAGCATCAGCAGCCCTGGCCCGCGGGCCCAAGGCAATAAAAAACGCTGAAAAACGCTGAAATCACCGTAAATACCGTGTTTTTATGAGGTTTTTCACGCGTGCCTCCGACCCCCACCCCTGTTGCCCTTGACCCGCCCCCAAAGTGCGCATCATCGAAACCCACGTCCGGGGGGGGGTCTGCTGATGCTGCTGATGCGCGGGGTCCGGGCGCATCATCGAGCCATCGCTTCTCTTGGGCTTCGTGGGGGGGTCCGGGCCCACGGCCCAGAGACCCAGCTGATGCTCATGATGCTCGGTTTGGGGGGGTGTTCCAACAGCAGAAAACCTCGTAAATACCGAGTGTTTTGTGGGTCCACGTAAAAACGCCCCTAAAATCGCTCATTTTACGCGCTCGAACGGCTTCGTGCCTACAAAACACCCGAACAGCAGGACCCCGAATGCCCTTAAGGGCATTCGGGGTCTTGCTTTTGGGGGTTTCGTGGGCACGCAAGCGTTCAAGCACATACAATCGGCGTGTTTAAGGGGGTTTTGGATGGCCTGGGGGAGGCCGCTGATGCTCATGATGCTCCCTTTCCTGGGTCCCAAAAGGCTTCCCAAGCCCAAAAACACGTGTTTACAGCGTTTTCTGAAGGTTTTTCGAAGGCAAAACGCATGCATAGAATGCTTTTAAGGCCCCCAAACCAACCCCACTGATGCTCCTGATGCGGGTGCGCGCGCGCGCGCGCGGCGCGCGCGCGCGCGCGCGCCGGGGGGGGAGGGGGGGGGAGGGAGGGGGGGCGAAGGCAGGAGAAAGAGAGACAGAGAGAAGGAGAGGACAAAGACACGGGAAAGAGAAGACAGTGCCAAGGTTCAAGGTTTCGTGCTTTGGGGGGCGGGGGCCGGCCCGTGCCGCTAGGCCTGAAATATATATACCCTGTAAGGGACTATGTAGGGTACCTCATTCCCTAAACCCTAAACCCTAACCTATAAACCCTAAACCCTGGACCCTAAACCCCAAACCCTAAACCCTAAACCCCAAACCCCTCATTCCCTTTCTTAACCAGCAGTAAGAGTAACTTAGCAACTCGTAACCCTAAACCCTAAACCCTAAACCCTAAACCCTAAACCCTAAACCCTAAACCCTAAACCGGCCTCGAAGTGGGCGCTCATCGGCTCCTGCTCCCAGGAGGGACCTCCGGCCTCAGTTGGGGCATCTGCGCCTCTTCAGCGTTTAGGGTTTAGGGTTTGGGGTTTAGGGTTTGGGGTTAGGGGTTTGGGGTTTAGGGTTGGAGGAGTTGGGGTTTAGGGTTAGGGGTTTAGGGTTTGGGGTTTAGGGTTGGCTTTGAGCGAAGATGAAGATGCGCCCTGGAATTGGGATCATATTCAATACCGAAACTTGCTACCCCAATCCATCTTGAGCCACCGGGCGCTATTCCAAGGAGTAGCTCCAAAGCTGGGGATGGGGGTGGGGGGGGGGGGGGGGAGTATGCTTCGGGCCCGTATACTTGGCTAGGTTGCCCAGGAAACTAGGTGTTGAAACGGTGCCCTTGTTGCTTAAAGGGGTGATAAGGGAACCTAGACCCCCCCAAAAAGGGGACAAAGGGCACCACTGGGCATCCTAGTGAGGGTACTGTACCTCACAAGAGGGCGTTTAGGGTTTAGGGTTTAGGGTTTAGGGTTTAGGGTTTAGGGTTTAGGGTTTAGGGTTTAGAGAAGTGGCCATGCGCACAAGCACTCTCAGCGCCACGCCGGAAGTGGGAAGCGGAAGTTCATGGCCCAGCTCTTCGGATCCTCCCCGTTTGGGTTTAGGGTGTAGGGTTTAGGGTTTAGGGTTTAGGGTTTAGGGTGTAGGGTTTAGGGTGTAGGGTGTAGGGTTTAGGGTTTTCTGAGCCCGGCAACTGTAATACAAGAAGGGTACGCTTTGGGGGGGGGGGAGGGATTGCCTCTACAAAGGCACCTGGGACCCAAGAAGTATAAAGAAGGGTGCTACTGGCCTGCCAAATTGAGGAAGTGAGGATTGAGACTCAGGGCTTGTGGGATTCGGGGGGCCTCAGGGTTTAGGTTACGGATGACTAAGCATGCTCCAAAAAAACATCGAAGAATTGGGGTTTGGAGGTCTCTGCGAAAAAGAGAAATTAGGATTTCGGTGGGCCGGGGGAGAGACCCTCTTGGCCCTCTTGAGGTGGTAGGGTTTAGGGTTGAGGGCTTTCGGGTTGAAGGTTTTTAGAGCCTTTTAGGGCTTTTTAGGGTTTAGGGTTTGGGGTTTAAGGTTTAGGGTTTAGGGTGGGGAGTCGGTGCCCTGTCACCTGGAAACACACACGGCGCTCTTCTGCTTTCAACCCTAGAGCCCAAAAAACACGAAAGAGCCGAAACAAGTGAAAAAACGTAAGTGGAGTCGAGCAGGGTTTGGCATCTACTCCGCCCGGAAAAAGGGGGGAACCGTAGCCCAACATGTTCAGTCTGCGGACCATGTAAAGGCAGCTGAGGAGTTGAGGTGTGTTAAGGGGCTCGGGAGTGGGGTGTGCTTGCGAGTGCGCAAGGTTTCACACGGCCCAAGCATGCAACATGCCCACACGCGAACATCCACACGATGTAAACACCCTACTTGGTAGCCCAGTAACTGTATTATAATTGGGGCACCCTTTTTTGGGTTGGTTGCTTTATAAGCCAACCCGGAAACAAAAAAAAGGGTAATGGGTACCACTGGGCCACCAAGCCTACATCCCACAAACTGGACCCCAACACCATTATAAGATGCAGGACGTCCAGAAGCCAGCGACGTGTGTTCAAACCCTCTCACATAGCCAATAGCCTAGGAATACAAGAAAGGATGAGCTTTACTATTCCTACTAACTAAAAAAGGAAGCCCAAGATGTTTAAAGTTCAACTATTGGCTAAGTAAGCTCTGAAGCACCTGAGCTCCAACCCCAAACCCTAAACCCTAAACCCTCCTAAGCCAGAAGCTTGGTCCTTCATGCCGTGCGTCATGGATGGGAGATTTTCGGGCTGGTCCAGCGGCTCAGGCTGAGTGAGGTATGGCCTGCGCGAAGCGGCACCGCGGCGATTGACGCAGGAACAAGAAACAGAGGCACCACAACCAAAGTCACCTCATGTAGCCTTCAACCTTAAACCCTAAACCCTGCACCCCAAACCCTAAACCCTAAACCCTAAACCCTAAACCCTAAACCCCAAACCCTAAACCCTAAACCCCAAACCCCAAACCCCAAACCCTAAACCCCAAACCGTCAAAAAAAAAGATGAAAAGCCCTCAATGTGCGGAGCAGGCGCATGTACTCCTCGAAGCTCTGGGCTTGCAGCTCCGCGGTCTGCGGACGTGATGAGAGGGTCAAGACAGCTAGGGTTTAGGGTTTAGGGTTTAGGGTTTGGGGTTTGGGGTTTAGGGTTTGGGGTTTGGGGTTTGGGGTTTGGGGTTTAGGGTTTGGGGTTTGGGGTTTAGGTTTTGGGGTTTGGGGTTTAGGGTTTGGGGTTTAGGGTTTGGGGTTTGGGGTTTAGGGTTTGGGGTTTGGGGTTTGCTGCAGTTCTGCGGGAGCTACCGCAGTGCATGGAAGAATCTGCTGCTGGCCTCGCCGTGCCGGATGCCCACGTACCAAGAGTACGGGTTCTTCAGCTTCACATGATGGTAGTCCTGGGCAATTCGGGCCTTCGGGGTGGGGTTTCGGGTTAGGGTTTAGGGTTTAGGGTTTAGGGTTTAGGGTTTAGGGTTTAGGGTTTAGGGTTTAGGGTTTAGGGTTTAGGGTTTAGGGTTTAGGGTTTAGGGTTCAGGGTTCAGGGTTTAGGGTGTAGGGTTTAGGGTCCTAAACCATGTCTCCGAAGCTCCTATAAGGCTTACGAGACCGATAAGAGCCTCAAAATCCCCTGAGGCTGTTCTAAACTAGGGTTCTTTTTCACATCCTTATAAGGTAACTGGACCGAAGGACCCCCGCCAAGCTAAACCCTAAACCCTAAACCCTAACCCTAAACCCTAAACCCTAAACCCTAAACCCTCTCCCACCTTTGAAATCTCAGAGCCTGGCCATCCAGAAGTCAACCTGCAGCTGCAACCTTTCTTGCGGAACCGCAGAGGGGGGCAGATTCAATGGTTCGGGGTGGGGTTTAGGGTTTACGGTTTAGGGTTTAGGGTTTAGGGTTTAGGGTTTAGGGTTTAGGGGTTAGGTGTAGGGTCTAGGGTCTAGGGTCCAGGGTCTAGGGTTTAGGGTTTAGGGTCCTTTCGTATCCAACTTATGAGGGTTATCTGGCTCATCAAGGCTGTGAGGGGTAGGAAGTTTAACTTGCGGCGCTTGGGCTTGCACATCTGTGCATATGAATATGCCTAAAACCCAAAACATATACGTATAGGTGATCTTCACCACATAATATACCCCGTCTGTGTTGCATTTAGTTGTGCCATACATGCCACGCTTGAGGGTTGATTTCTTCTGTTGGAAATGGGGGGGTTACGAACATAGGGGCCCCGCAATTTTGATCCCCTAAACAGTAGGATTTCCGACCCCCAATAAGGTACCCCTCCATGCGGAAACCCCCGCTTGAATCCCGAATATAATCCCCGTAACCCACCTGACTCATCCTACTTACTATGAGTCAAAAGAGCCTCCAGGCAGATGTGTTTTCCGCATGCGTGCATGGCTCTCACCTCAGAGATGAACCACGAGCCAGTCTGCATCCCAAGACATCACGCCAAAACCACTCCCCCCTCCCCCGCGCCTACCCCCCCTCCCCCCCAAGCCTAGAATAGACACTAAACCGCCTAAACCACACTTTCCTAAATTCAACCCCAAGAAGGAGACTTATGCGTTAACTGAACCGAACAAAACCCGGGTTGAAAAGACAATACTTGAACAAGCCACGGCCTCCCTCCACCCCACGTGGGTGTGGGATTTAGTTGGGATTTCCGGCGGCTAAGCATTAGGGTTTAGGGTTTGGGGTAAACTCTAAACCGTAAACCAACCCTAGATCCTAAGCACTGGACCCTAAACCCTAAACCCTAAACCCTAAACCCTAAACCCTAAACCCTAAACCCTAAACCCTAAACCCTAAACCCTAAACCCTAAGGGTGGCGGTGGCCCCGGAAGCCCTAAGCCAATAGACAGCCAAGGGGCCACTCCGGCTCTGCGACCTGTGCCAAGGCAGTGGGTTCTTGCAGGTTGAAGGGTTTAGGGTTTAGGGTTTAGGGTTTAGGGTTTAGGGTTTAGGGTTTGGGGTTTAGGGTTTAGGGTTTAGGGTTTTAGGGTTTTCCGGTTTGGGGGGTTTAGGGGTTTGAGGATTTGAGGGTTTAGGGTTTAAGGGTTTAGGGTTAAACGGTTTAGGTTTCAAGGGTGTCGTAGGGTTTTAGGGTTTAAAGGGTTTAAGGCTTTGGGGGTTTAGGGTTTAAGGCTTTGGGGGTTTAGGGTTTAAGGTGTTAAGGGTTCAAGGGTTCTAGGGTTTAAAGGTCTAGGGTAGGGTTTGGTGGGGTTTGGAGTTTAGGGGGTGTGCGGCTTAGGGTCTGGGCTGTTTGCGCTTTCGGGGTTCAGGCTGGGTTGGTATTTTTGCCTTCCTACAAAAGCCCACGGGATGCAACATGATTTGGGGCTTCACGTTTAGGGGTTAGTGCTCATAGGGTTTCGGGTGAAAAAAGAGAGTGCAGGACAGCATTCCTGCATGGCACCCCAACACCAGGTTCTTGTTCAGGGTTTCGGGTATAAGGTTTAGGGTACTTTGAAACAAAACGGCTACTCCGCTTTGCTTGCAACCTAGCACCTGAAGAAAGGCAATCACGGCTTTAAGGTGGGGCTCCCCTTCAAGTAGAGCTCAGCTATAGGGGGCACCAACCTGAGTTGTAAGTAGCAACGCTGTGTTATGCCTAGGCCCCAGAACGGCCCCCGGCCAAAACCCTAAGCCCACACTCCCACATGCCAAAACCCTCAACCCAACACTACTATTTGCTTAAAACAAAATATTTTCCTTAGAAGGGAAATATAGGGATGCTATCCTTCTAAACCCTAAACCCTAAACCCTAAACCCTAAACCCTAAACCCTAAACCTGAACCCTGAACCCTGAGCCCTAAACCCTAAACCCTAAACCCTAAACCCTAAACCCATCTAAACCCATCTAAACCCATGTAAACCCTAAACCCTAAACCCTAAACCCTGAACCCTGAACCCTAAACCCTAAACCCTAAACCCTAAACCCTAAACCCTGGCCTGCTTGTTCTTCATGGCCTCCTGCTCCTTGGAGGCCAGCAGATCGCCTCAGGTCCGCTTGGCCGGTCTAGGGTCTAGGGTCTAGGGTCTAGGGTCTAGGGTTTAGGGTTTAGGGTTTAGGGTTTAGGGTTTAGGGCAAAAATGTGTGGAGAGGATTCTAGGGTTTATCGAGCTTACAGGGGTTTATAGGGCTTCATTGGACTCTTATTGGGTTTATGGCGTTTCTAGGCCTTGTGTGGTTAAGGCTTTCGGGCTAGGGTATGTATCAATCTCAGGATGAAAAAACAGTAAATAGGGTATGTATCAATCTCAGGATGAAAAAACAGTAAATAGGGTATGTATCAATCTCAGGATGAAAAAACAGTAAATACACATTAACGGGTCTAAGGGTTTAGGGTTTGCGGGATAGCGCTTTGGGACACGGGACACGGAACCATCAGGGCTTAGGGCCCGTCGAAATCTACAAACGGCTTCCAAAACCCTACCCTAAACCCTAAACCCTAAACCCTAAACCCCAAATCCAAACCTCAGCTCGCACCCCTGGCGCGCCGGGTCCCCACGCTGAAGGAGTAGCGGAGGCCGGCTTGGGTCAGATCCATGCCTTGGAGTGGGGCTAGGGTTTAGGGTTTAGGGTTTAGGGTTCAGGGTTCAGGGTTTAGGGCTTAGGGCTTAGGGTTCAGCATCTCAAGTCCCAGTATTCATTAGTCAACCTGCGAACTGTGGTATCGGACTACCCACCCAGGCTTTGGGTCCCATGACATTCAGAAACGACTCCCGTTTTCGTGAACCCGAGACCTTAAACTGCTAAACCCTCGGACCTGAACCCTTCAAACCCTAAATCCAGGAACCCTAGAACCCCAAATCCAGGAACCCAATGAACCCTGGGGCTTCAACCCTAAACCCTAAACCCTTCAACCCAGGCCTCGAACCCTCAAGGCCTGGAACCCCACCGCCGACGATTCTTTTTGGCAAATTTGCTAGGGGTGATGAGGGGGGGGGGGGGAGGGGTGTGCCAGCGAATTTTGGCAAGATTGCTGGCCGCCGACGAATTGGGGGGGGGGGGGGGCTGGCCGACGAATTTTGGCAACATTGCGGCAAATTTGCTGGCCGCCGACGACTTTGGCACATGCCGCAAAATTTTGGTTTAGGTTTCTGATTTAGGTTTAGGCCTTAGGGTCTAGGGTTGAGGGCTTAGGGCTTAGGGGTGGGGATGTGGGGCTTCAAGGTGTTAGGCTTGTTGGGTTGTGGGGACTTTTGGCCAGTGCAGGGTTTTGGGGGCTGTTGGGCCCAGTGCCAGCCGCACCTCTCGCCAAGTCAGCATCCTTTAAACCCTAAACCCTAAGCCCTAAACTTTAAACCTAAACCCTAAACCCTAGGCCCTTGAATCTCCAGCCCTGGGTCCTAAGCCCTGAACCCCAAACCCCAAACTGAACCCGAAACCCGAAACCCTTAACTCCAAACCCCCAAACCCGTAACCCTAAACCCTAAACCCCAAACCCTAAACCCCGAGCCCTAAACCCGAAACCCTCAAAGCGCGCACACAGCCCTGGGCTCCCCCGGCCCAGAAAGTTCGGTCTAACGGCAATGCGTTGGTTTGCCACAACCTCAATCTTGCGGGATCTTAGTGGGAGAGGGATTTAGGGTTTAGGGTCTGGGGTTCAGGGTTTGGGGGATATGGTTCAAGGAATTTGGTATATAACTTCCAGCACCCCGATATAAATAAACTCCGCAAGGGAGGTTACAGGGTACCCAAGTACCCTGACTCCCTACGAAGAGCCAGTAGGCAATTTGGGGCTTTATGACAAGGCCGGATTTTAGGGCTTAGGCTTTAGGAACCTGGGGATCTATGGCAGAACTGGGGTGGAATTGGGGACCCCATAGGAGCTTTACTACGTTCGGCAGGGTTGCGTAGGGATTGGGGCCTACGGCGCCCCAGTAGCCTGAGAACAAAGGGTGCCCTGCTTATTACCGTGGTTAAAAGGGTTTCTAAGGGATGATGCGGAACCTTTCATCCTAGGAAAGGACTCAGGAGCACAACCGAGCAACCCAGCAAACGGCACAAAAGTTGGGATTTCCCCCCTTCTACTAACAGCCCTTAATAGTTAGAGATTATAGTACCCTCTATTACGATCCCGAGTAAGGACTGTTAGTATAAGGGGGGACATCCCAAGGCAAAAGGATGGACTAGGGCTTACCTCGAACTCGAACCACCACCAGCCGCCCCCCCCCCCCCCCAAGCAGCAAGCAAAGGGCGAGCAGCGAGCACAGGCGAAGCAGGGCCTCTTTATGACTAGCGCCACTCCACCCCCTCACCCCCCCCGCCAAAAAAAAAAAAAAAAAACGAAAGGACACCCGGTGCAGACGCACCCGCACTCTTCATAAGCAGCCCAACCCCACCAACAGCAAGATAAGCCCTACTTCGTGTACCCTTGGTAGCCCAGCAGCCATACTACAGTAAGACTGCCCTTGTTGAGGTTGGTTGCTTTGATATAGCGGAACCTAGCACCCAACAACTGGACCAGGCTGGCCCACAAAGCCCTCCGGAAAAAAACAAAAAATTGAGTGTGATCCTCCTGAAACTCCATAAGGGAAAATATAGAATGCCCCAAGGGGCCTACCCAGTGGTCTACCAAGCTACCGAGCTTCATGTGCCCTCAACCCTAAACACTAAACCCTAAAACCCCTAGGTACACAAGGTCAATGGTCTCCTGGCGGAGTTATAAGGGGATCAATTCCAACAAGCAATACGGGTGGCTTCCGCAAGTGGGTAAACCCCCCCCCCCCCCCCAACATCACGTGGAGGCCATATAGACCTTACTTCGAGTAACCCTGAACCCTAAACCCTAAACTCCGAACCGAGGTCTTGACTGGGAATGCCCAGCCGTACAGCTCCAGCTTCTCGTACTCATGGGCGAAGAAGAGCCTGGCTGGCTACCAAGGCCCTAAATTGTAGAGAAAGGGCGCTGAGGGTTTAGGGTTTATAGGGTTTAGGGTTTAGGGTTTAGAGTTTTCATCCCTACATGCAGGCTACCGTCCTGTCCCCTGCGACAAGGGTCCAAGCTCGGACCGGTCTTCAGGCATACACTCCTCTTTGCATCTAACCCTAAGGGTCCATGTACCTAAATAGGGAACACTTGGGCCTTAAAGTACTTCCTACATAGGGACTGTTGGGCCCAAGTATCTAACAATGAGGTACATGGACCCTCAGGGGAAAGGCAGCCGTGATAACTGATACAATCTTCGTTGTGATGTAGTGGCCTTGGGAGAACCCTAATGGGGCAAACGAAAAGGCGCCCTTTTTTGAAGCGTGATGTCACATCCCCTTTTTTGAAGCGTGATGTCACATCCCCAATCATGGCCCGGCTTTACGGGAACATCCCAAGAAAACCGCTGCTTTTGGCTGCGTACGGTCTAGGGTTCAGGGCTTGCCCTTCAAGCTGTCAACCCCTAAACCCTGAACCCTGAACCCTGAACCCTAAACCCTAAACCCTAAACCCTAAACCCTAAACCCTAAACCCTGGCGAGGGGCCCTGTGTCCAAGTTGGTCACAATCAGCTCGCGGAGGTGAACCTGCGTCAGGCAGAGGGTCTCCCTAAGGGTCCATGTACCTAAACCCTAAACCCTAAACCCTAAACCCTAAACCCTAAACCCTAAACCCTAAACCCTAAACCCTACAGACCCTAAACCCGGGAACACTTGGGCCTGAAAGTGCTTCCGAAAAAAGGGACTCTTGGGCCCAAGTATACAACAATGCGATACATGGACCCTTAGGGTCTGCAGCCGCCGAGTCTGAATGTAAGGGTAGTTGCGTGGTCCCTTGTTAATGGGCCCTTCGTAAGGGGCCATACCCGTACATCTGAAACTCGACTGAGGAGAGCCAAGGGCTTCGGCGACCGGAGTCCCCAGCTAGCCAGAAATTTCGGTGTGCGCATGCAGCGCGGGAAGATACGTGGAGGTTCATGGGTACTTCTAACCCCATTCAACTGTACATCTAGCCTAGTTGCGGGTCTTAGGGGGCTTAGAAGTACATATTTGGGGTTACAAGTGCCAATGAACCTCCAAGTACTGAACCACTTGCCCGCCCACCCGGCAAGGTAAACTCCCCAAAGCCCCAAACACCCTTCAGAAAGAACATGTGCACCTTCACTCACAAACAGGATCCATTCATATAGTCTATGCTTTTTTGATCAAAGCCCTAAACCCTACACCCTCCTCACCCTAAAACCGAAACCCTGAACCCTAACACCCCCCCCCCCCCCTCGGAAACTGGGAAAACGTGCCTCCTGTGGCTCAGGCCATGCGATATTGAGCTTACGGATGGGCGTTGTGCAGGTCATGTAGGTGTTGTTGCGGACTGGGCGGTGCAGGGTTTAGGGTTTAGGGTTTGGGGTTTGGGGTTTAGGGCAGCTGACATGTTACAAGGGTTAGGGTTCAGAGGGTTTATAATTAGGGGCCGAGGGCATAGGGGCTTATGGAGGTTTACTGGGCTTAGTGCCCACCCCCTCTACCCACCAAGAAACAAAAGCTAATCAAGACGATGCTAAGTCGCTTCCTTGGCTAAGAGCGCGTCTGTGTTTGGGGTTTTACGGCTTCGGGTTGAGGGTTAAGGACCCTCAGCCCTAAACCCTAAACCCAAGAGTCGGGGGTCCGTTTGGGCCTTTTGAGGCTGAATGGTGCCGCGTTGATATAGGACCCCAAAAAGACACAACTTAGAAAAATATGCAAAAGAAGCCCATTTTAGTTCGACCTAGACCCGAACCGCCCCTGGCGCCAAGAACCTGCACCCAAAATGCCGGAAACCTGGAGCCCTAATTAAACCCTAAACGCCCCCCAAAACCCCGAACCCTAAACCAAATCTTAAACCCTAAACCCTGAACCCCAAACCCTAAACCCCAAACCCCAAACCCTAAACCCTAAACCCTAAACCCGCAAAACCCTAAACCCTAATTAAACCCTAAACCCGCAAAATCCTCCAAGGCCACCCCTCCGGGACCCCGGACGCCGATGCTGGAAGC